CGCGGCTCACTAGGCTAATCCTCCGCCTTGCAGAGCCGGCACACCGGGTTCTAGTCCCGGTCGGGGCGCCGAATTCTGTCCCGGTTGCCCCTCTTCCAGGCCAGCTCTCTGCTGTGGCCAGGGAGTGCAGTGGAGGATGGCCCAGGTGCTTGGGCCCTGCACCCCATGGGAGACCAGGAGAAGCACCTGGCTCCTGCCATCGGATCAGCGTGGTGCGCCGGCCACAGCGCACTGGCCGCGGCGGCCATTGGAGGGTGAACCAACGGCAAAGGAAGACCTTTCTCTCTCTCTCTCTCTCTCTCTCTCTCTCACTGTCCACTCTGCCTGTCAAAAAAAAAAAAAAAAAAAAAAAAAAGACCATGGGAGAGGTACAGAATGAGTCCTAAGAGGGAGGCGAATCAGAGTTGTTCATGAGGGATGGGGCATTTGAGCTGACTCTGCCGGAGAAGGAGCGTGATGGGTGGAAAGCATCCATCCCAAATTTCCACCTGCTGGAGAAGGCACTGCCTATTTTAGCGTAGGCTCAGGAGCTCATGGCCCCGGGGCCACACACTGCTGGCCCCATTCACATTTCCATCCAGTAGCTATCGTCTGAGTGTCCGCTAAGTATCAGACACTGAGCCAAGCATGGAAGCTTTTAGATATTATCAAAACATAAGGTCCGTGCTGCCACACAGCACACACACACACACACACAAGTGAAAAATGAAACAGAGCTGGAATGTGGTCCTGTGGAAAATGCAATATATATTCAATATCCACGGTGGGAGGTTCTAGGCCCCCTGATGGATACTGAAATCTGAGGACGCTGATCCCTTGTATAAAATGGACAATATTATGCACCTCCTCTGGATCCTTGAGTAGACCTTAAAGTGTCTCTAGATTACATATGATGCAATGTAAATGCTATGCAAATAGTTTTTCTACTGTATTGTTTATGGAGTGATAAGAAACAAAATCTGTACATGTTCAGTACAGACGCAATTTTTTTCTATTTTTGACCCACAGTTGATTGAATCTGTGGATACAGAGCTCATGGATAGTGTGAGCCAACTGCAATACAGTAGGAGTTTGTGGCTCAGAGCCTTTTTGCCATTGAGGAAGGTCCTTTTGAGGTGGGGGCAGACGATGAGAAGAGAGCAGCTGGATCTGGGGAACACTGAATCCTGAGCAGTCCCAAGCTTGGCAAGTGTGGCAAACAGCAACCACACACACATACACACACTGTCCTAGTGTGTGGTCAGATGTGGAGTGGAGATGGTGTCAGGGGTGCAGGGCTGATAGGGTGTGGAGAACAGCTAAAAACTATGGAGGAAGACAGGATAGGTTTGTGCTGTAAGTCAACTGCTCTGGGTACTCAAAGAATGACTGGCAGGGTCGAGGCAGCTCTGTGTTCACAAAAGGTGGCTTTGACCCCACGCACTCTCTCCTTCCCTTCAAATGCATTCAGCAGCCAGGTGGTTGGCCCAGAGTTCTCAGCCATAGCATTGGAACCTTCTGTCCCAAGGAAGACTGGGAAGCAAAGGGACCTCTGCCCTCCTCATAGAGAGTCATTTTCCAGCCTCCCCCATACCCTGTGGCCACGACCCCCTTCCCATTGCCCAGGGGCACCCTCCTATCCCCAGACTTTCAGGGCATTGGTGACAGCAGGGACAAGCTCTCCATCTATTCTTCAGGCTTTGCTAAGTGGTCCTGAAGGGAACCTGGTCTGAGACAGACATCAAGGGAGTCCTTGAAACAGCATCATGGAGCCTTCTGATGGCAGCTTTTAGCATCACTGCATGTGCAGGCTTCGGTGGACCTGAATCCTTCCTCTGCTATTCCAGTCACATCCCCTTCCTCTGTAAATGGGACCAGTGGGATATGTAGAAAATTTATCTGGTTTAAGGAGGATTACCCTGAATAAACCATTTTCCTCCTCTTGATTTACCATTGAGAGCTGGGTCCCTGTTGAAGCGAGTGATCTATAAGAGATATCTCTGCCCCTCCTGGGATTTAATGAACCAGTGGAGCTAAGTGCTGATGGACACCTGGGTAGCCCAGAGTGCTCCCTACATCTGGGGCTGGTAGACAGGGGGGCAGAGGAGCAGCCCAGGGCAGGTGCGTGTAACTGAGCCTTCCAGGAGCTGCTGTGCTGTGGCTGGCACTGGGCTTGGCAACCAAGTGTCACCTCCTCAGTAAGGAAGCAGGGAATGGAGCCCTAGAGATTCTAACCTCCCAGACGCCTGGTCCCGGTGCACTGAGAACAAGACCTTCCCACCGTCTCTTCCCTGTCCAGCTCTTTTTCCACAGCAGGAAGTCTTATAAATGAAATAATTAATAACTGGAGTTGGGGCCAGTGCTGTGGCGTGGTGGGTAGATCCGCTGCCTGCAGTGGATCTTATGGGTGCCCATTCGAGTCCCAGCTGTTCCACTTCCAATCCAGCTATTATGGCCTGGGAAAGCAGTAGAAGATAGTTCAAGTCCTGGGGCCCCCACACTTGCATGGGAGACCTGGAAGAAGCTCCCGGCTCCTAGCTTCGGATCTGCACAGCTCTGGCCATTGCAGCCAACTGGGGAGTAAACCAGCAGATGGAAAACCTCTGCCTCTTCTCTCTGTGTGTAACTCTGACTTTCAAGTAAAATAAATAAATCTTTTTTAAAAAAAATAGAAAGTGACCGAGAGAACCACCATGAGGAGACTGGAAGGATACGGGCACTGCTGAATCTACAGAAGCCCAGATCCCAACACCCCTGCCCATTTCCAGCTTCCCTGCTGTCACATCTGGGAAGGCAGCAGAAGGTGGCTCAAGTGCCTGAGACCCTGCCACCCATGGGAGACCTGGATGAAACTACTGGCTCCTGGCTTCAGCCCGGCCCGGCCATGGCTGTTGCAGCCCTGTGGGGAGTAAATCTCCAGAAAGAATCTGCAGAAGCCCGGACCCCAACACCACACGCATTTCCAGCTTCCTGCTCTGGTTATGAAGTCTCCACCTCCCTGCCTTTCCCAGACACTAATGCTGGCTCCATCTCAGTTCGACTTTGGGGTTCCTGAGCCTTTGGGAAAGAGCCCATAGAGCATTATAAATACCTGGGGAGGAGGGACCTGAGGCCAAAACCCTAAGTGTCTAGTGTAGCCTTGTCACCAGCTTTATATATTTCAATTGGACTGCAGGATTTTGAAATGTAGGCAACTCAGAAAAGAATCAAGATTTCTCGTTTCACTGGGAAAATCAGAAAATATGGTTCATATTTCCTCATGTCCCTCATGGTGACAAGGGTTTGGATTAAACAGGGTGTGTGGCCCACCCAGCCATTCTCAGAACTGCTTCCTTTGTCCACCACACCAGCCTGGCCCCTGCAGACCCCGAGTCATGGAGCCTCACCTTCTTTTTCTTTTATTTTTAAGGTTTATTTATTTGAAAGGCAGAGTTACAGAGAGAGAAAGAGAGAGAAACACCCTCCCATCCAGTGGTTCACTCCCCAAATACCTGCAACAGCCGGTCTGAAGCTAGAAGCCAGTAGTTTCATCCAGGTCTCCCATGTTCAAGCACTTGAGCCATCTTCTGCTGCTTTCCCAGATACATCGGCAGGGAGCTGGATCAGAAGTGGAGCAGCCGGGATACAAACCAACACCCATGTGGATGCCGGCATCTCAAGCAGTGGTTTAACCTGCTATGATACAACACTGGCCCAAGCCTCACCTTCTAAATGCCGAGGCTGCATCCAATAGGCTCTCAGAGTGCCTGGGAGTCCCAGGACGGTGCATGTGGCATCTCAGGCCCCAGAAGGAGGGCCATCCCAGCGGGGAAGAGCCCCTTCTCAGCAGTAAGGGCGGTGGCATCGGTGCTGGATTTCTGCAGCTGGGCTGAAGGAATGGAAAGCGCAGAGCAGAGGAATGGCAGAAGCCAAAGCATGGCGGTAGGAAAGGCTGGGCGACTTTCCCAAGAGCCAACCAAGTGGAGGTGAAATCCTGGAGACAGAGACGTTCCCAAGCCTCCTTCCTAGGCCTACTCAACACACCACTGACCTCCTGCCACTGACACGGCTCAAGCAGCCCCTGCTCTGAAGTGGAGCACAGACCATCGCCACAGTGGTGCCCCCTTCTGCCCTGAGAGCCTGGGCTGCTATCAGGAGTCAACCCTTCAAGGGGAAGGAACGCCCTGTGTCCTGGACGACGCTGGGCTGGGCTGGGAAGATGGGCAAGGGGGCACAGGCAACACTCCAGGAAGATTCAAGTCTGCATTCTGCACAGGTTGATAAGTCCGTGCCACAGAGGGAACAGACAAGCAGGTCTGTGCCTGCAGGGTCAAACCAGGCTCAGCGCCTCTTGAGATCTTGGTTCTCTCCCACTGCTTCCTTGCTCTCGTGCCTATAGTTAGAACTGCATCCCTGCTGGAAAGTCCCAGCCAGTGGTAGACAAGGAGCCCCGTGGCCCTGACAGGCAGGCACACATACATACACACACACACCCACAAACCTCAGAAGCCCTGTACATTATGCAGTGCCGTCCGCAGCCATGCCCTGGACCCGAAGGGTCTCCAGAGGGTTTCCAAAGCAACGTATTTTGGAGCTGAATTACAAGATCAGAAGAGTTGGGGAAATTGGTGCTTTAAAACAACGCCGCTGAGATAAAATTTAATGGTGGAAGAAATACAGTATTTTGAAAACATGAAAATAAACATTCTGCAGAGCCCGGGTATGAAGTCGTGCAGTGCCGCTCGCGAGACCCGCACTGTCGCAGAAGAAGTCTAATAATTTTTAATAGTCCTCTAAATCTCCCTTATGAGGTGCAGCTACTGTAAACACTCCTCCATATTTTCTCAAGTATTTATGTAGTGCTGTTAGAAGTTATTAAACGCAGATGATTTTCATTGATAACTCTCATTCTAAAGCAGCTGCCAACTGCTCAAACCCGAGGCGGTAAGAGGGGAAATGTCCTCTCTGGGGTCAGAGGCACGAGGCTGCTCCCGGAATCCCCTTTCTGAACTGAAGGCAGTGAAGGACCATTCTGAACTCACCTAGTGGTCAGTGGTAAGATCTTTGACTCCTCTTGTTTCCATCTAGCGATTGCTTCTGGTGCTCATTTATTTCTTAGCATGTGTTAGCACCTACCACCAGATGCCAGGAGTTTTACAATGCCCTGGGAATACAATGGTAAAAAAAAAAAAAAAAGCCATCATTCCTGCCCTCACAGAGCTAATGGTCCAAAAGCGAATGGGGATATTAATCAAGGATCACATGAGACAGAGTGAAATCCCACAACCACCATCACTGAAGGAAAGCTGCGTGACTCACTAGGAGTTTATCAAAGGGCCGTCTGGCTCGGCCCAGTCATCAAGGTCAGAGAAAGCTTCCCTGTGGAAGACACCCTTGAGCTAACCTCTACAAGATCTGCAAGACTGGAAGGGGTCAAGGAGGCTAAGAGGGGAGTGGAAGGAATTCTGGGAGCAGGAAGAACCCGCACAAGGTCCCTGTGTGGGAGGCAGGGGGAGGCATGTGGATAACCGAGAAGGCTGCGAGGCCAGAAAACAAAGTCTGTTGGAGAGCTCGGGGGATGGGAGGCTGGAGAGGAAGGCAGGAGCCTGGCCATGGAAGGCTTTGTGGGCAACCAGGAGGCTCCTCGTCCAGAGTCGGGGAGAAGCAGCAAGGAGGGGCAATCCTGTCAGCGAGGGAGCTCTCAAAGCGGCCACTCTGCTGCAATGTGAGGGGCTGGAAGGGGCACAGTGCATAAACACACAGACCAGCCAGGAGGCCGAGGTGATGGCTGGATCAGGGAGGGAAAAGGAGGTGGCCAGGAGGGTCCCTGTGCTCCTGGACTGAACAATTGGAGTAAGGTTGGTGACATTCACTAAAATGAAAACACCAGGTTTGAGGGGTGAAGGACCATCATTTAACAGACAGGAGGAGGAAAAATAAAACTGCAAAGGAAACAGAAAATATCAGCTAAGAGAAATAGAAAAATCCAGTAGGAAGGAGGCAGTAGGAGGGTCCATAAGATCAGAATTGAAAGTGTCTGCTGGGTTAGCGACGTGAAGTTCACTGGTGGCCGTAGTGAGAATCGCTCACCATCTTTTTTCTTAACCTCCCTGGAGCTGAGATGATACGGTTGTCCACACTGTTCTGGCTTTATAAAGATGATGCAGGTGGCATCTAGCAGCAGGATTTACAATGAGTTGAGCCGAGGGTGATGGGAACTAATGGCTGCCCTGGGCTGTGTATTGGCACAACCTCTATGGAGGGCAATTTGTATCTTTCAAAATCACAAATGCAGGTACCAGGTGTCCCAAGAATCCCACTTGTAAGAATAATAGCACTCAAGCTTATTCATTGAAACCCTGCTTATAATAGCAACAGACTGGAAACAGTGCAAACGTCCATCATCAGGGCACACCGTAACCATAGTGAGGAATAGCGGCTCCCATGGGGTACTACGGGGGAACAGTTTCCAGTTACAGCGGGGAAATCTGGCACAAAGGCAGTGTGCTGACACGTGGCACACAAAAGGAGAGCATAAACACCTATTTGCATGCAAACTTATTTTCTCTGCAAGTGGCATTGGTTACTTCCTGGGACAGAAACCGGGTGCTGGGTGGCTGAAGAACAGAGTGAGAGAATTTTCATTGTATCAGCTACTTTTTTTTTTTTCTTGACAGGCAGAGTTAGACAGTGAGAGAGAGAGACAGAGAGAAAGGTCTTCCTTTTGCCGTTGGTTCACCCCCCAAGTGGCCACTACGGCCAGTACACTGCACGGATCCGAAGCCAGGAGCCAGGTGCTTCTCCTGGTCTCCCGTGGGGGTGCAGGGCCCAGGGACCTGGGCCATCCTCCACTGCCTTCTGGGCCACAGCAGAGAGCTGGACTGGAAGAGGAGCAACCAGGACAGAATCCGGCGCCCCAACCAGGACTAGAACCCGGTGTGCCGGCGCCGCAGGCAGAGGATTAGCCTAGTGAGCCACGGCGCAGGCCTGTATCAGCTACTTTCAATCTTAAATTTCAAACCATTGAAACCTATGAATAGAAAACTGTAATGGGCATGGTCCTTCCCTAAGAAAAACAGCAGAATAAGGACAGCACTCTTTAAAAAAAAGGATTTATTTGAAAGACAGAATTAGAGAGAGAGAGAAAGAGAGAGAGAGAGAGAGAATCTTCCATCCATTTGTTCACTTCCCAAATGACCACAGCAGCTGGGCCTGGGCCAGGCTGAAGCCAGAAGCCTGGAGCTTCGTCTGGGTCTCCCACATGGGTGGCAGGGGCCCAAGGACTTGGGCCATCCTTGCTGCTTTCTGAGGTGCATTACCAGGGAGCTGGATCAGAAATGGAGTAGCTGGGACTCAACCAAAGGGTGTAAGTTGCAGGCAGTATGCTAACCCACTGCACCACAGTGCTGGCCTGAAAAACAGCACTCTTAATGGACCACATCTCTCACTTTATACCCCTGAAGATTCACACAAGTGTATTTACCTTTTTGGTTATTGCTTGTCTCGTTGTTTAAGTCAATATGATTTCAAGAACTAGGATGTATTCTTTAGAGTTTATGCTAGGAGATTACTCCTGAAATCCTTATATTTCTCATTGACAAAACAAAATGCCAGAGGTTGATATAACATTCACTAGCCTGTGAACCAGGGATCTGAGTTTGAGTCTTAGGTTCTGCATGCCTGGGCTCACCCCCAGATGTAAAACATTCAGAAAAAAAATTCCAGTTAGGTTCACAGTGGTTGCACCTGCACTGAGGATGCACAGGCTGTTTTTCTTGTCATTATTCCCTCAATAATACAGTGTAGCAACTATGTAAAACTATGTTGTACTGAGTGGCACAAGTCATCCAAGAGGTGAGTTAGAGTATATGGGAGGATTGCATAGTTCTATGCCAATACTACACGTTCTATATAAGGAACCTGGGCATCCATGGATGTTTGGCATGGGAGGCTGGGAAGTGTCCTGGAACCAACCGCTCATGTCCTCCCCCCAGACATCTAGGGAGAAGGGATGATGGTAATTTACCAGGTGGCCCCAGGCCAGTCGCTTCATGCCTGTTCACTTTAGTTTCCTTGTCTGAGAAGTGGGAGGATAGCCCCTCCCTTAGCTGCCTACAACTCTACACAGATGAGATCATGAGTTTGTGCGTAGTGAACTATAAACACCTGCGAAAGCGGTGGGTCTGCTGTTGCTGCTTGAAATTCGGAAATGTCTTAGAATACATGACTATAAACACACATTTGCCTGCATATACACCTCTCCCAGAGAACTCACAACACCCGCCTTTTATTATAGGCCAAGAACCGAGTGATCTTCCAAACCTCAGCCCTTGCCACATGCCCAGGAGAAAGCCAGTGACCATCTCAGCTAAACCGGACCCCTGCACAGAAAGACGGCTTAGCTAACTCCCTATGAGACAGAGGCTGGAGCGAGGGCAGCTGCCTACCAGCCATGAGGATCAATCCTTGGCCTCCTTTGCAGAGCTGGCAAGGCTGCCAAGTGCAGTGGCTGGCCAAGCTCTCCCTCAGGTCCACACAGCTTTGAGCGAGTAATCGGTTCTGTAAAGCATGACCTAAATAATATAGTAAAAGCAGGCTTTGTTCATTTATTTCATCTTCTCTAAAGGTAGCATTAATGTTTTATTGATTTTTCTTTTTAGAGAAAAACCATAAAATTCCTTTCAAGACAGAGATTTGAGCTGGGCGTCTCATCCTCACCTACTCCCGCTCCTCCCCCGCTCTCCTGCTGGCATATAAAAGCAGAGGAAGCTGGAGTCAGTGCTGCAAACCCAGCAGGAGAAAGAGCCCCATGGCCGACACCTTGTGCATGTCCATGGGCCCGGAGCGGCAGGAAGGACACCAGGGACATGAGGAGCTACTCGATGTAAGAAGCCATGTGCACCTGGAAGGCAAGTGGAGGGAACAGATGCATGGGTGAGGAGGGGCAGAGGGCTGCAGGGCCACACTGAAATCCCCTCAGTGTTCGTCTATTCGAAGGAGCCCCAAACTGTATCTATTAGAACACAATGGCGACTTTTCCATTCTGGTGATTTTCAAGGTTCCCTGTGACATTCCACCTGGGGATGGAGGCTGGGCGAGTCAAGGGCTCTGTGCACTTTGCCTCCATTCCATGCCAGTGGAAAAAGAGGGGTTCCAGGTTCCTTTCACCCCTTCATGCTGTCCTATCCCACAAGACGAGGGAGGAGTCAGAAAAATAAACGAATTAAATAAATCCCAACTTCATTTTTTTGAATTACTTAGTTGAAAATCAAGTTACAGAGAAAGAATGAGAGAGAGAGAGAGAGAGAAAGAGAGAGAGAGAATCTTCCATCTGCTGGTTCACTCCCCAAATGGCCACAACAGCCAGGGCTGGGCCAGCCTGAAACCAGGATCCTGGAACTCCTTCCCGATCTTTCACATGGGTGGCAGGGGTTCAAGTACTTGGGCCACTTTCCACTGCTTTCCCAAGCTCATTAGCAGGGAGCCGGATGGGAAATAGAGCAGCCAAGACTCAAGCCAGTGCTCATATGGGATTTCTGCATCTCATATGGGATGCATTACAACACTGGTCCCAGTAAATCCCAACTTTGGCAAGAAAAAGGTGTATCTGTGGTGTTCTGTTGTGATAAAGGTGAAGCTACAAAGATGGTGAGATTTGAGACGGAAGCTAGGAGAGGTAAAGTCAGGAAGAGGAGATATTCAGAGAAGGATATTCAGGGCATGCAGTGGGAAGAGAAACTGGCTGTGACTAAAAGAAGAGTTTGAAGAATCTATTAATTCCAAGTGCATTTCTGCACCCTCAGGGATCTGTCCCTGGTCAGTACTGAATAAATGTATAATTCTGGAAATAGGCTCTCTAAAACTCTGGTCAATTGTAAGATCATCCACTATTTGCTTTCTACTGTTTTAAATATAAAAACATATACACATATATAAATGTGCACACACATATATATGTATATAAATATCTATTTGTTAATTTACTTACTTATTTAAAAGGCAGAGTGACAGAGAAAGAGGGAGAAAGGGAGAGATCCTTCATCCATTGTTTCACTCTCCAAAGGGCTGCAAAAGCTGGCGCTGGGCCAAGCTTAAACCGGAGCCAGGAGCTCCATCCAGGTCTCCCTGGATGTCACATGAGTGACAGGGACTCAGGTACTCAAG